ATCCTCAATGTGTGCTAGGAGTTGACAGGATAATCAGACTAATGGCCGTCTTGCCTCGGAGTTACCGAAAAATGTAGCATTCGACAGAGCTACCTTCCTTCTCCTTTTACCCTCGGTTTTTCAAATGACATAGTTCACTAAACCATATCAAGCAAGAATATTTACATTGCTCTTTTCCACGCTGAGACAGTGCATTGTCGATTATGACGACCTGGGTCTGTTACGAAAGCCTACGCGGACCGTTTAAATTGGTTATGTTTGGAATGTGTTTTGCTTCTTCACAAAAGATCAAACTGGTATTTTAGAGTGCAGAATGAACCATCACTATCGTTCAGCGAACAAAAAACACGAAAAGAAAAATGCGAAATGGTTAAAGAGAAAAACCCATATTTATGGAGAGAGGCGAGTATGTGTGTCTAAACCATAAACCAGTGTGTGCGTGTGACTGGGTATGTCACAACATCATTAATTTGTAACCATAATTAGTGTGTGCGTGATTCCAATGTAACAATAATATGGATGAGTGATACTTACATCACGCAGGAATAATAAATCACGACTGATAAAGAATGCGTGTTGTTCCAAACCGGCACTGGCACATTTCGCGAGGACGAATTCGTGAACATCAAACTTGTGAGTCTGTGAATTTTCAACCAGTCGATGGAGCAGTGAAATTGGACGCATAAAAGAAAGAAAAAAAGGAGTGGGAGATTTAAACAAGCGCTGAAAAAGCGGGAAGGATAGGGATGTACAAGATGAACTGATTAACTCGGAGATTCCTATAGAAGAATAACCAGTGTGAATTTATGGTAACCGAGAAAATTATTGCCGATAGGCGCAGAAGAAACCTCAGAGACATTTGGCGAGAAAAAATTGGAACACTGGTGTTGATTACGTCAAGTGTCAACGTGTCTTTCCGGGGAACAGTAACCACTGACAAGTTACCGAGATTCAATGATATATAAGATATTTGTCCACGGTGAGTGGTTTCCTCATTTAGACGACTGCTTCCAAATGAACTGGAATAGATAGCTGTAGAACAATGTTTTTGAGGATGAACGAAACAAAGCAAAGTACCACAATCAAACTGATCACATACACACTTTTTCGGTTTCCGTCCGCGATTTTAGGCCTGCGTGAATTTAAGCGGTCTGACACAATCTGAACTGGAATGCTAGGTGATTCATTTCTGGTCTGATCTGAGTAACTACGGTCAACTTTGCTTTGACCGTAACTCATAACCGGTGGATGTGTCGAAACGAGAGATCTTGCGGCAGCTCGGGGGTGTATAATGAATGGAACAACAAGGAATTTACCCACGGACATTCAGCGATTTATCATTACACAGTTAGACAGGGGTGTGAACCAAATGCGGATCAGACGACATAAATCAGAACGGAAACCAAGCACAATTTTAGGAGCGTACACACAGAGATGGTGATGTTCAGTCGCGGCATTATGGCAGCACACAGCCAATCAATAGAGATTAACTTATCAGCCCGGGATAGGAAATGCAGAGCTGTGAGTGAGAAAGTTCGCATTCACCTCAGCGGAATGTATGGTTTGTGCATACCAAAAAGTAAGACTGTGCGGATAGTGACATGTTTAAGTGGAGACTAAGAAACATTACGACTGGACAGGTGTGTGAAGCTATTACCATAGTTTTAAGATGTGTCTGTGAATGAATAGTTTGACTAACCTCGAGATACTGTTGTTGCAGTCTTGTCAACTGACGCGATCGCCACTCCCCAATGTGATACAAAATGGGATGCTTTCGACGAAGCTGATGATCTGCAGCCTCTTGGTGAGTAAGCCAGGCGTGAATAAATGAATCTTTCGCCTCAGCCAGGATAAGACTGAAAGTAGCCTGTTGGATCAGTGGTTCAGCTGGACAAAAAGTACGAGATAGAGAGAAATGAGTTTATGAAAAACATTTCCGAGGAGCGGTAGAACGAATCCCATATGGAGAGCTCATTAAGGCGTGCAAACTGAAGGGTTGACAAAGGGGTTGCACTGGCGAATCTTTTGAGACTTTGGAAAAATTAAACCATCAAACGATAAACAAAAAAGGTGATAAACCGGTAGAATAAAACTAAAAACTGTTGCATATGGAACATGATTAACTGTGGAGAAGGATATACAATCCCACTAGCAGGTCATCAGAAAATCAACATCGAGATGTCCCGTTCTAACTGGGCCATCGCAAAACAGAACACGAGAAAGTGAAATTGCAACTAATTATCTTCAGTCAGATCTGAGCATCCAAACGTGAAAATATGATTTTTAAAAACAGACACATTCAAAAAATCTCAAATCAGTTTAAAATTAGGAAAACAAGTGTAAAATAAGCGAGCAAATGTACGATATTGGACAGTCCCAGCGTGTTGGGGCTGTAAGTAGAGACGATTCAATGAAGACAATGCTTTTGGCCTTAATACAATCGAGCATCGTAATTCAGGTCACTGGTTTTCAAGTCACCATGAGTGGTCAAACACAAAAGTAGTTGAAGGAATGGAACAAAAATACTCTACACTTCATCGGGGTTGAAGAAAACGGGCAGTTGTTTTGACCTTGATGGGTTGCATCATTAGTGCAAAAACAATGACTCTGATGAAATATAACAGAATCGAAACAGAATGCATAATGAAACTACTGATCCTATCGAAATTAATCCTCCGCTACTAAATAGTCGGAATCCAAATGTTTCCGATCGAGTCGTAACACCGAAGGCTTGTTCTAAGATGATCGTGGTGAGGTGCATGCGACAAACTTGGAAAAATGGGGCGAGGCAAATTGTGTGTAGACAAAGCAGAAAACGGTCTGATCAGCTGTCCGGTTGTCAGTGGGTAGTATGCGGGCGTTCTACCTGTGGGATCCCATGTTTGATCGATTCGTACTGTTGAATGAGACCAATAATTTTGAAACAGCAGCCCAGTGCTTCAGGATTTTTCAGTTCGTGCTTCCTTTCTTCTGTGGACGAAAGCTTTATATATCTCAGCAGTGGCATAACAACTAATAGATGTGTGGACGAGGAGGTCTCCCAACGCGTCTTTAAAGCAAGAACGGTGTTTGTTTATTATTGTGTCCCGTTTAAGTGAGTAAATAAGCACTACATCCCGTCACCGGTGTGACGTATATCTCTACTGAAAGAGCGTCGGCACAGCGTAACAGCTGCCAAACTTGGCCTTTCTGAGCAGATCATGACTAACGGCTCGTTGTCTGCGAAGCGTAGTATCTCGCAGCGATTAGGTCAGATGATCTGTGTTGTCGTCAGAAAGTCTTCCAATAATCAAGGTCAGTTCACTGCAATGTTCGAGGTGATATGCCGCAGAGGATAGGGATTTTCTCATTTAACCAGTAGACAAAAGAGAAATATTTACTGGTTCTGTTATTAGTATGAGTCGTAAAAGAGATACAACTCAATAGAAGACAAAGGATGACAGCTTGAAAGGTAAGCATTCTTGTTTTGATTGAACTACGAAAAAACAAAGCAGTCTATTTTGAACAGTGAAAGAGGAAAAAAGGTGAAATAAACGGAGGTTTTCATTAGGAAGATCATAGGGTAACCGACGTGACGTGCAGATGTACTGAGGTGAAATATAGCGAACCCGACAACCCAAGTGATTCTGGCAATGCGTCTCTAAACCATGAAATCAGTCGTTCAATAGATCTGTTCGAACACTTACACGCTGACCGAAACAGTTCAACGTCAGCCACTCAGACTGAGAGGTGCATACCCGGAAACGTTCTTCAAACATTTGTTGGGTAAACAACCGCAGTGAGACTGGAAAAACCGATACGCAGGAAGCGATGACTCACAAACAGTTCGCTCCGGCCATGTCAAAACCACAGACGGAAACTCGGAATGGGCTAGAACAAATGCCGACTTAGACCTTGCAGACTGGTTACACTGTGGATGTAAGTGAAAACTGTTTTATACAGGGACCATAATTCAGATGGAAGTTACCAATGATGTCGATTTAATTAGCGCTGTGAAAATGATTTTTATACAACCGCTCAAAAAAGACATTAGATAGTGGGATGTCATCAAAAGGTCATCGAGGCGAACACGAACAAAATAACCCCACAATAAGCCGAGCAGGCACAGAAAGTTGTTTCATCAAACTGATCACAACTTAGGTAAATATGCTTAGAGAAACGATAACAGTATGCATAATACTTCTGATGGGGAACAACCCTTGTCATGCCATAAACAGTAGGCATTCATCAAAGGTCAGCCAATAGCACTCACTGTACTCACACTCTGTCGTTCTGCGATACAACCCAAAGGAACAAAGAAGTCTTTGTAACAAAATCAACGACCTAAAGAATCACATTGCTAAGGACTAAAATACTTTAATGATAATTTGGCATTAATGTTAGATAATCGACAATCGAAACCATCAATGTAACAATCAGCTTGACTAGTCCAGAAAAAGAAGTTCAAAATGGCTTAATTATGGGTAGATTTGACACATTTGCATCACGAATCACAAACTACAACTTTTAAATATCTTCCGGGGTACAAAACAGGGAAAATAACCAGATGATCCGTAGTAGTTCGTATATTACCGGAGGAAGAAATCACATTCCACTAAGTCACACTGTTAAGCTACATTTCAGCTAGATAGAGGGAGGAGCGATTTAGCAAGGACCAGCACAGATGAATAATCACAAATCAATTTTCACGTCAGTATTAGTCACGAAATTCAGGGAGGGGGGACATACCAATGCCTTGGCTAATCATTTGTAGTGTTTCATTATGGCGCATCGCATCGAATAATCGAGATGCATATTCGCGTAATGCTTCTTGCCGGACTAACTAAAATCGAAAATAAATAAAACGGAGTATCCATGAGAGATTTGTATCGTATCAAAACCCATAGCAGCAATGTTTTGAACTTGTTTAACATAGTTTAGGGACTGAATAATGTATTGTGGTTGGAAAATTACGCTTCGAGAGATTTTCATCTAGCAATCAATGCCTTGTCCTAAAAACCGCTTACGCTATCAGCCAACATAACAAGAGGTAGCCTTGAAAACAAACAGATAGATCAGAATTTTGGGTGTTTGAGGACAAAATACAACTTCGAAAAACGGGAGGGATAAAAGATCGACGGGTCACACAATATAATTATCTTCGTTATATACCAAGGCCGCTACAGGAGCTTTGATAAACCAGTCCAATTGCATAAGACAAGGTGGAAGTTTCGGTTTTTACAATCATTAGTCATGCATTTTCGTTTGAATGCACACTAGGAGAAAGACAAGTAGGTTGAAAGTAGAGTTGGAGGGAAAATGGAGAATTTCAGTGGACTAAGTTTGCCTCTGATTATTGATTACAATGAGCAAGGGGTCCCCATCCAGGGAGCCTAACGAGACCTAAATGACCGAAACTCCTGGTTTGGTTTTCATTCCTTCATACCCGGTATTCTTTTGATTACCCTTGGCTTTTTTACCCACTAACTGCCTTGGCAAACATCGCTCACCATGGCAACCTATTTGGTGGCATGCGTAACACATGACCCAAACAACGTAATCTATGAAGGTCGATCACTTACTCCAGTGGGCTCCCACGGTTACTTAAGACTCTGCGCCTAATCTCAGTAGTGCTTGTCTAGGTGCCCCACCAGATTCGTGCGATACTTCGTAGACAGCGGTGTTCCAATACCGGCAATCTATCTTTATCCTGTTTTCTTACTGGCCAAGTTTCTGCGCTCTACGGCAGAACTGTTGCAGTATAAAATCGACAGCCAGATGCGGCGGCGGCGCCAGAGATGTCTCAAGTTGGCAAACACCAGTCAAGTCTTCTGTATTAGATTGTGTGCTCTGTGTGTTGAACATAGAGGTTCTTCTTCTTTGCCTCCCTCCAATAAGTCTCTCCATCTTGTGCTTTATCACTTGATTTGTGTACATTGTGAGCTCGGCAGCGATCAGTGAAGCTCGCTTCACTGTATCTTTACGATATAATCTTCTGTATGCGAGCTGATACTTCATCCGTGATAAGTCCACCGGGTGAAATATAGCTATCCAAATAACAAGACTTGTCCAGTTGCTCTATTACATCCCCGGTTAGAGTGAGGCTGGATACTGGACCAACCCAGTCTTGTAGTGATATTTTACACTTTGAAGGTACCAAGCATGGCTACGCTGGTACTCAGGATATTCAGAAAAGTTTGTAACTTCCCTGGATATTCAATTAGCAGCAAAATGTCGCCTGCATACTCCAGATTAGACAGTCTATCATCTGGGAAAAACCCGACGCAACGAAGTGGAATTAGTTGATCGGACTCTTCCACTGAGCTACACACGCTCTTCTTGATCCTGAAATTGATGCAATATCGCAAGAGCCACTCAAATACAAATAGATACGTGCAGTCGTATTCTAAATATAAAAATGTTACAAAAAGGCGGAAAACAGAAAACTTCAATCGATAACTCACTCGTTTGATCTCTGGGATAGATTTTCCTTCATCTGTATAGCGGGAGGTGAAAAATAATGGTCAATTGAGGAAAGAAAATACTCAGTGAGCTTATGAAAACGAGGGCTACAGGGTGTGAGAGTAATAGCATAATAAATCACCGATCCGGAAACTTGGGGACAAAGCTTTGCGTTTCAAGCGCTCCCGATCATACAAGCAAGAAAGCACAGAGAAAATGTTTTAATGCAAGCGAAGAGCATCCGGGAGAAGAGAGGGAATTTGTCTTGTTATTTCCTGTCAAGCTATCGATCACTTGTCATGAGGCTGACTGAAAGTACAGAATTGACCCAAGCGGGTAACCTGATTCGCATCGTTATTCGAAAATTAACATCGACCCAACTAATGAAATCAGATTTCGCGCACAACAAGTTTTGCAAATCCATCATATACGTTTGTTGAGAGCGTACAATCTGTGTTTTAAGTATTTGCCTATTTGGTCCATACAAATCTGACCCTAGTGAATATTTGACGGAAAATGAAACCTTAAAAGTGTATGAGCGAACGAGACGAAAAATATAAAGGTTGTTGAAGAAAAACCGGAATTCGACTTCAGCTTCAAAAACTGCACATCATCTGTGTAGTTGCATAACTTCCTTTTTATAATCCATTGCTAACGTTGGTGCATAGGGTACGTGCAGTCGTCATATGTATAACATCACCATAGTGGACACTGGAGACAAAATTTTGTCTGGTTCACCTCACGCATAAAACAAATCACGCNTCACGCTTCCAACGCACGGGAAAAATGAATCCACATGAGAACTGAATCGTACTTGAATTCAGTGAAAGAGAGAAAGCATTTCGCAGTAAATTATTAGGTATGCAATAATCAGGAGTTAAAAATAAAGGCACTTGGAACCCAAAGTAATTCTATTATTCCAATATCTGGAACGCATTGCGTTACGCAGTAACCAGTTGTGAATTTATCTGGTGTCAATTCCAATACATATACTCAGTATCTTTGCGTCGCAACAATGCCGTATAGAAACTCAAGCGATCATAGCACAACTGCACTTATTATTGTTTTCGGATAATGCCCCACAGTTCATATCCCGTAACCGGCGTAAAGTAACGATCTTTTTTTGAATTTCGG